TGTCACGGCATGAGTTTATTGATGGCTTATTAGACCTGTCCCTGTCTCAAGTCAACCATGTAAAAAACTCCTTGGGTCGATTGCTTGATCTGTGCTTTGTCTCGGATCCGACCGTAGCGTTGTTAACACGAGCACTCCCGCTCACTATACCTGAAGACTGCTATCATCCTACTTTCGAAGTGTCGATAGATATTGGATCTACTGTATCGGATCGTGCGGGTAGGCTATCTGAACGCCAGGCGACGAAAGCATTTCGGCTCAAATGCTTCGAGTTATTGAATTAAGCTTTAAAACTAACCAGGCGAGACATGAACACGTCACTGCAGTAACTTCCGTGTTTGTAAAAAATATTACATGAACTGTGTTAAAAACTGTGCACACAGGGTGAAAGTACAGGGACTAGATCTGCGAAACCTCCTTGGTTCACCAAAGAGTCATCCAGTCTAAAAAATCTAAAATCAAGACTATTTAAAAAATCTCAAGAAGTTGGTTCTCCCTCTTCTCTTTCTAATTACTTAATAGCTCGGTCAAACTTCACTGTTCTTAATGTTCAATGCTATAGGAACTACCTCCTTCGATGTAGGATACGTTTTTCAAAGGACCCTAAACAGTTTTACAGCTTTCTAAGCAGTAAGCGTAGAACGTCCGCACATCCATCCTCGCTATCATTTTTGAATATGTCGGCAAACAATGATCAGGCAATCGCCGATCTTTTTGCACAATTTTTTCAAACCACCTATTCCCAGGAAAGCTACCCAGGTCATATGTATCCATATAGTTTACCAAGGTCGAATGGCATTTTCTGCCCTTTGTTAAATGAAAGCTCCTTACTTCATGAACTTCAATTAGTTAAGCCGGTATACTCACCGGGCCCTGACGGAGTTCCCGGCTGTGTACTCAGGTACTGTGCCGAGTCTCTCTGCGGACCTTTGCTTAAACTATTCACTCTATCTATCCATTCTTCTAGCTTTCCCCCCATCTGGAAGGAATCCTTTATAATTCCTCTCCATAAGAAAGGTAGCAAGTCTGACGCTAAAAACTATAGAGGTATATCTAAGTTATCCGCTATTCCTAAAATGTTCGAGAAACTTTTAACTCCGCACTTGCAGCATCTCTGCAAATCACTTATATCTCCAGCTCAGCACGGATTTATACGGCGACGATCAACAACCACTAATCTTTTAGAGTTCACCTCCTTTGTAATTAAAGGCTTCCAAAGTAACTTGCAGACGGATGTTATTTACACTGACTTCAGTAAGGCATTCGATTCCGTAAACCATTCTCTTCTTGCACAAAAGCTCAACCTTCTAGGGTTTCCGCCCAATCTGTTGAGATGGATTTCTAGCTACCTGTGTTCTAGGTCTCAAAGGGTCCTTTTCAAAAACTTCGTATCTTTACCTGTTATGGTTACTTCTGGAGTACCACAGGGTAGCCATTTAGGCCCCAATGAAAAGTGTGAGAAATAATTACTGGACGGAAGACATAATTGTTTAAGAGCTCATGAATACATACGCCTACTACAATTTGAGACACAGGTCATATTCCTGTAAAGTAAAGTGAGAGCAAACGTTAGACTAGAGTTATCGTTTCAGTCATGGTGCTGTGCAAATATGTTACAACTTAATGCCTCGAAGTGCAATGTTACGACTTTTTGTCGCTCCAGCCCCTTCCTGGCTCCTTACACCCTCTGCGGTAGTTCTCTTGAGAGAATTACATTGGTTGATGATCTAGGTGTTAAACTAGACCCAAAGTTAAAGTTTTCTGAACACATTTCTACCATGGTAAATAAAGCCATGGGTGTGCTTGGGTTTATAAAGAGGTGGTCAAAGGAATTTGAGGACCCCTATATAACGAAGACTCTCTATATCTCGCTTGTTCGTACGATTTTAGAATACGGCTCATGTGTATGGTGCCCTCAGTACAACATACATCAGGACCGTATTGAATCAGTACAGAAAAACTTTTTATTATTTGGCCTACGGGGCCTCAACTGGGATGCAACTGTGAGACTGCCATCCTACCGTAGTAGACTTCTTTTAATAAATCTTCCATCCTTAGTTAGTCGTAGAAAAATGCTTGGTGTAATTTTTATGCACAACTTGATCAAGGGGGATGTAGACAGCCCTGACTTGCTGAGCCGCATAAACTTTACGATTCCCATTAGACCCACTAGAAACTTTATTCCTTTGTTCCTTCCACTATGTAGATCGAACTATGCCTCACACGAACCCTTTAGGGTTTTAAGCTCGGATTATAATTCCCTCTACCACATTATATCCTCAACTAACTCCCTTCCTCTTCTTAAATCTCTTATACTAGCCTACCTCTCCCGTAGTTAGTTTCATTTTAGTTTTGTCTTGTTTCTGATTTTGGTAATTTCTGCTTGCTTAGCTTAGTCTAGTTATGATTAGATCTAATTTTCCTCGAATATTAGCCTAACATCTATCTTTCCTGCATGCTCGCGACCGGTTCGGTTAATCGCGCCGCGCGTCATGCGGCAGCGCCCCTCGGTCGGTTGGGCGGGAGGAGGGCTGCGTTCTGCTAGGTTCCGCGCGTAACAGGCTTTGGCTTGGTGTCGCATGGGCCACTTGATGGTGCAGTCATTGCATATCAACGTCCAGAATNGGCATTTTCTGCCCTTTGTTAAATGAAGGCTCCTTACTTCATGAACTTCAATTAGTTAAGCCGGTATACTCACCGGGCCCTGACGGAGTTCCCGGCTGTGTACTCAGGTACTGTGCCGAGTCTCTCTGCGGACCTTTGCTTAAACTATTCACTCTATCTATCCATTCTTCTAGCTTTCCCCCCATCTGGAAGGAATCCTTTATAATTCCTCTCCATAAGAAAGGTAGCAAGTCTGACGCTAAAAACTATAGAGGTATATCTAAGTTATCCGCTATTCCTAAAATGTTCGAGAAACTTTTAACTCCGCACTTGCAGCATCTCTGCAAATCACTTATATCTCCAGCTCAGCACGGATTTATACGGCGACGATCAACAACCACTAATCTTTTAGAGTTCACCTCCTTTGTAATTAAAGGCTTCCAAAGTAACTTGCAGACGGATGTTATTTACACTGACTTCAGTAAGGCATTCGATTCCGTAAACCATTCTCTTCTTGCACAAAAGCTCAACCTTCTAGGGTTTCCGCCCAATCTGTTGAGATGGATTTCTAGCTACCTGTGTTCTAGGTCTCAAAGGGTCCTTTTCAAAAACTTCGTATCTTTACCTGTTATGGTTACTTCTGGAGTACCACAGGGTAGCCATTTAGGCCCCTTACTTTTCACACTCTTTATTAATGACCTGCCTTCTGTATTAACAAATTCTCGAGTACTTATGTATGCGGATGATGTTAAACTCTGTGTCCAGTATAAGGACATTTCATTTCACTCTCGTTTGCAATCTGATCTCAATAGCTTTCAGTCATGGTGCTGTGCAAATATGTTACAACTTAATGCCTCGAAGTGCAATGTTATGACTTTTTGTCGCTCCAGCCCCTTCCTGGCTCCTTACACCCTCTGCGGTAGTTCTCTTGAGAGAATTACATTGGTTGATGATCTAGGTGTTAAACTAGACCCAAAGTTAAAGTTTTCTGAACACATTTCTACCATGGTAAATAAAGCCATGGGTGTGCTTGGGTTTATAAAGAGGTGGTCAAAGGAATTTGAGGACCCCTATATAACGAAGACTCTCTATATCTCGCTTGTTCGTACGATTTTAGAATACGGCTCATGTGTATGGTGCCCTCAGTACAACATACATCAGGACCGTATTGAATCAGTACAGAAAAACTTTTTATTATTTGGCCTACGGGGCCTCAACTGGGATGCAACTGTGAGACTGCCATCCTACCGTAGTAGACTTCTTTTAATAAATCTTCCATCCTTAGTTAGTCGTAGAAAAATGCTTGGTGTAATTTTTATGCACAACTTGATCAAGGGGGATGTAGACAGCCCTGACTTGCTGAGCCGCATAAACTTTACGATTCCCATTAGACCCACTAGAAACTTTATTCCTTTGTTCCTTCCACTATGTAGATCGAATTATGCCTCACACGAACCCTTTAGGGTTTTATGCTCGGATTATAATTCCCTCTACCACATTATATCCTCAACTAACTCCCTTCCTCTTCTTAAATCTCTTATACTAGCCTACCTCTCCCGTAGTTAGTTTCATTTTAGTTTTGTCTTGTTTCTGATTTTGGTAATTTCTGCTTGCTTAGCTATAGCTTAGCTTAGTCTAGTTATGATTAGATTTAATTTTCCTCGAATATTAGCCTAACATCCATCTTTCCTGCATGCTCGCGACCGGTTCGGTTAATCGCGCCGCGCGTCATGCGGCAGTGCCCCTCGGTCGGTTGGGCGGGAGGAGGGCTGCGTTCTGCTAGGTTCCGCGCGTAACAGGCTTTGGCTTGGTGTCGCATGGGCCACTTGATGGTGCAGTCATTGCATATCAGCGTCTAAAAAAAAAAAAAAAATATTCACCGATTACATGCATGTTCTTCCTCTTTCTCTATCGTATTCACATATTACATGTATGTTCTACATCAACAAACTTCTGTGAGTATGTCGTAAATGCAACAATTCAATATCTTAATGCTACAAATTAATTTTACTTATACAAAATACTAATTGCTCCCGGCCATAAGCCTTTTGCGCTAATTTGGCGTAAACATACTCCCGGCCTTGGGAGCTCCTTCCAACAATTTTACTCTGTGTCTCCAATCGGTAACGGGCAGATCTTGTGTATGTTGCGCTTGTTAAATCCTGATTTGGTTTTTATGGTGACTACACGAACTACACCATCAGTGCCAGGATAAACTTGATGTACGCGACCCAGAGCCTATTGTCCTGGGGGTATGCTGTCTTCTCCAACTAAGACCAAAATGCCTGGTTGAATGTTGTTGCATACTTGACCACTTGCTGCAACAACGTCAAATACGTATCCAAAATGCATGGTGTACTGCGACGATTCTTTTCCATCGATTAGTAGCAGATAACTTAAAAATGTCCTCATCAAATGGCTCAGGCATGCTGTTCAATGGTCGACCAATTAAGAAATGACCCGGCGTCAATTACTGTCCGACGAAAGTCGGTGAAGCGGTCGTGAGTTCATCACTGCCTCTGCTTGTGATATCGCTGTGACCAGTTCCTCGTAGTTAAGCGCTGTGCTATTGAAACTTCGAACAAACAAGTAGCGAAGCTACTTTCACCGCGCTCTCCCATAGTCCTCCAAAATGAGGCGATCGGGGTGGAATAAAATGGAAACTGACACCGAGTTGGCTGCACTGATCCACAATTTGGTGCTTGCCACTGTCATTCCAGATCAAATTCGCTATCGCCTTCAGCTCCCGTGAAGCACTAACAAAATTGGTGGCATTATCACAAAACAGCTCTGCGCTGATCCCACGACGAGCAAAAAATCGTTTGAGTGCGGCTTTAAATGCGTTTGTGCTCAGGTCTGACACAAGCTCTAGATGACAAGCCTTGCTCAAAAAGCACACAAAATCACATAAATAAACCTTGATAGGCCGCCGGCCTCTTTGGTTGAAGTGCATCCATAACGGCCCAGCGTAGTCGAGTCCAGTACGTTCAAAGGGCTTCACTCCTTGCTGCACTTGGCTTGCTGGTAAGGAACCCATCATTTGCGTAGCTAATATTGGACGTTGTCAAAAACATGCAATGCAACTCCTTACCGTGCTGCGAGCTAGTTTTCTAGCATTGATGACCCAAAAACGTTGTCGCACAAAAGCACATAACGCTTGTGCTCCGACATGCATATTGCTTCGATGCGTATATTCAAACAATGGTTTTACAACAATATGATTATTTGGTAAAAGCATGGGGTGTTTGGTGTCAAATGGTACATTGGCCCTAGACAGCCTGCCTGCCACCTACACGAATTATTTCTATACCCTCAGACTGGTCTAGAATCGGGTTAAGTGCTTGAATTTTTGAAGAACTTATAATTTTGCCATTGCGTAATTTTTCGATCTCAGTGTAAAAACTTAAAGCTTGCAAATTAGATACTACATAATTCAAGCCACCTTTTAATTTGAGTGCTGTTAGCTCTTTAGCTCTAGTCGAATCAATCTTTTGTGCAATTGGACGCCAACGATAAACGAAACCAAATACTCTCGTTAGTTTTCAAAAATCCTTAGCATATTTGCTACCTCCTAGTATGGCATCTACTATAATCTTTGGATATTCTGGCAGGCTAAATTTGTTGTTTCGTTGTTCGGGGAGCCCCTCTGGACCTTGCCATTCCACAAGTGTCCACTGCTCATCCGGTAACCGCAACTGGTGGCCCTTGCCACCACAACGACGAAGCCTTTAGCTAACTTGTGCACAGCCCTCGAGAAACGATATCTGCCGGATTTTGCTTCGATTCTATCTTGTACCACTCCTGTGCCTTCGACAGATCTTGAATTATAGCTACTCTGTTAGCCACAAACGTTGTCCAACGACTAGCATGCGATGCGATCCAACTCAAAACAATTGTCGAATCTGTAAAGTAACCGACCTTAGAAAACGATTCGGGTGCACACTTTTTTATTTTTGCCATAAGCTGCGCTAACAGTCTCGCACCTTCTAATTCTAATCTAGTTAGCGATACTACTCGAACAGGTGCAACCTTCGATTTGGCTGCCAACAAATTTGCTCCATGCTCATCAATGACGCGAACATATACCGCCGCTCTAGAAAAGGTATCTGAAAACCCATACAGCTCAATTCTGTCTGCCACTGCATGGACTGGCACTACAGCTCGAGGCAACGAACACTCATGAACAAGTTCCAATTCGCTTCTGTATTTCTGCCATTGCAGCGCATAGCTTGGCGGCAACTCCTCATCCCACTGTTGCTTTAGCAGCCACAGTTCTTTCATGAAACCCTTTCCTAAAATCAAAAGGGGCTCAGAAATCCCATTCATCAAACAACTGTGCTAACTCTGATAACACGATACGCTTCGTAATGCTGTCCGAATTACTTGCGACGTACGAAAATTGAAACTTATCAATTTACTTTTTTACTGTATCTGTTACCTGGAGCTCTAATGGTTCTATTGCGTCTGCGCCATCTCCATCACAATAGCTGTTATAATGCCACTTATGAAGCTCGAATCGCCCCAACTTTAACAACTCGATAACTTCATTTTTTAATTCATTTAGCTGCTCGTAAAACCTCGCTCCAGCTAGCATATCATCCATGTAGAAGTTTTGCCTTACAGCTTCACTAGCTAATGGGAACGATTCCCCAAATTGATCCGCTAAATAGTGAAGACATATAACTGTTAGAAAAGGTGCTGAATTGGTTCCATAGGTAACCGTTTTAAGGCGTAGTACCTTAGATGGGTAATTACTACAATTACGCCATCAAATTCACAAATAATTGCAGTCGCTTGGCTCAACTAATATTTGCCTATACATCTTAGAGATGTCAGCAGTCAATACAAATCGATAAAACCGGAATCGAGTAAGGGTCTCGAACAAATCTGGTTGCAACGTTGCTCCTACCAGCATACGAAATACGACTCTCACTTTTGTCGTCAAACTTTCTGGGCGAATCACCGGATGATGGGGCATGACATATTTCACCACGTTTATCTTATCAGCCGCGACCTCCTCTAAATTATCCAATTGCCTCATCGATAAATTCTGCGTAAGCTCTCTTGAGGTCTGGATTCTTATTGAGCTTTCGGTTTAAATTCAAAAACCTAGTCAAAGCGATGTTATGGGAATCCCCTAGCGACTTCTGTGGCTGTGCAAAAGGCAAGCGAACTACTCTATAAGATTATCGTTTGTCCGTTTCACTGTAGCCATAAAAATCTCTTCACAAAGCCTTTCAGATTCTGTTAATACCTTTCCACCTCGCGACACTTCCTGGCATTGCCAGAACTGTTGCACCAAATTTTGCAACTGGTCACCCTCCTGTTGCCTTGGACCATCAGCTTTATTGACAATCAACGCTACAATCTCGTCAGGAATGCACTCGCCTACCACTATCCAAACTAGCTCTGTAGTACTGGCTTATTTAATCCCATTCTAATTTGACCAGCTACTATTAGCTGAAAGAACAAATTAACTCCAAGTAGCATATTTATTTCTTCTGCCGAATCAAATAAAGGATCTGCAAGTTTTATCTTCTTTGGGACTAGTGACCTTATGACTCCTGTCGCTGTGGGATGATACCGTGTTATTTCTGGCAAAACACAAAACTTGCCTGCTGCAAAAAAGTTTGTCACTCTGGACTTGAATGTTGTTTCAATCTCCCCGACAACTCCCCGAATACTGCACTTCGCTAACGCAAATCTGGCTGTCACAAAATGAATTTGACTACCTGAATCTAAACACATCTGCATTTATAGAAACTATTATCTACCTTTAACCAGTACAATGGCAGTAGCCAAAAATGTGGTTCCTCTATTTGTAAGAAGCGAACTTTGCAACGATGCCTGGCCATTGTCCAGAGCCCTTGTTGTATTTCCATTGGTTGCTTTCCTATGTAACAAGATATGATGTGGCTTGTCTGGACGTTGATATGCAATGACTGCACCATCAAGTGGCCCATGCGACACCAAGCCAAAGCCTGTTACGCGCGGAACCCAGCAGAACGCAGCCCTCCTCCCGCCCAACCGACCGAGGGGCGCTGCCGCATGACGCGCGGCGCGATTAACCGAACCGGTCGCGAGCATGCAGGAAAGATAGATGTTGGGCTAATATTCGAGGAAAATTAGAGCTAAACAAAACTGAACTAATGCAACTATAGCTAAGCAACCAAAATTACCAAAATCAGAAACAAGACAAAACTAAAACGAAACTAACTACGGGAGAGGTAGGCTAGTATAAGAGATTTAAGAAGAGGAAGGGAGTGAGTTGACGATATAATGTGGTATAGGGAATTATAATCCGAGCATAAAACCCTAAAGGGTTCGTGTGAGGCATAATTCGATCTACATAGTGGAAGGAACAAAGGAATAAAGTTTCTAGTGGGTCTAATGGGAATCGTAAAGTTCATGCGGCTCAGCAAGTCAGGGCTGTCTACATCCCCCTTGATCAAGTTGTGCATAAAAATTACACCAAGCATTTTTCTACGACTAACTAAGGATGGAAGATTTATTAAAAGAAGTCTACTACGTTAGGATGGCAGTCTCACAGTTGCATCCCAGTTGAGGCCCCGTAGGGCAAATAATAAACAGTTTTTCTGTACTGATTCAATACGGTCCTGATGTATGTTGTACTGAGGGCACCATACACATGAGCCGTATTCTAAAATCGGACGAACAAACTAGATATAGAGAGTCTTCGTTATATAGTAGGGGTCTTCAAATTCTTTTGACCACCTCTTTATAAAACCAAGCACACCCATGGTTTTATTTACCATGGTAGAAATGTGTTCAGAAAACTTTAAGCTTTGAAATGCAAAAATGTTAATTTGTTTGAGGTATTTTTATACCCGGTACTCGAAGAGTAAATAGGGTATATTGTATTTGTGTGGAATAACGGTTGTATGTAACGAGCAAAAGGAAGCGTTTCCGACCTCATAAAGTATGGATATTCTTGATCAGCATCAATAGCCGAATCGATAGAGCCATGTCTGTCTGTCCGTCTGTCCGTCTTGTTTGTCGGCTAGTTCTTAGAGACTATAAGAGCTAGAGCCACCAAATTTTGGCTCCGGACTGCTGTTTGCTCACACTGAAACCAGTGCATTTCAAAAATGACCCACGCCCCCTTCCGCCCCCCGCAAAAGGGCGAAAACCTCCCAAATCTACAATTTTGAAGAGAAAAGAAATCTAAACGACATTCCGTAGGAAATGGCCATATCTATCAGATCACCAAGTTGGGATCCGATCGGATCATTATTATAGCCACAGTGGAGAAACTAATTTCCAGTGGCTAAAGCCACCCTGTCCACAGCTTTTGTTGTTCTTTTTACATTCTCTCATTCCCATTTTAACCCAACCCGTCCCGCAGCTTATATAGGTTTATTTTTTGTGTGCGGTCGCTGTCTCTGCCTCGAGTCTGCAGTATGTGGGTCTAGGGAAGGGCGGCGAGCATGTTGCTGTGAGAAGTGTTGTAGATGTAGATGACAGAATAAGAAAGAATTTAAAATTTGACAAAACACAGCTGAGGTGCAGATGCACTATTGTCCCAATGACCAGTTTTGGTGGCTGTTTACGCCAAATTAGCGCAAAGGGCTTATGGCCGGGAGCAATTAGTATTTTGTTTAAGTAAAATGAATTTGTAGCATTACGTTATTGAATGGTTGCATTTACGACATACTGACAGAAGTTTGTTGCTATAGAGCATACATGTAATATGTGAATACGATAGAGAACGAGGAAGAACATGCATTTAATGGGTGAATATCGAAATTGAAAAGAAGAAGAGATTAAATTGATTTGAATTTGACTCGGTCGAACAGCAACACTTGGCTTTTTATTTCGAGATTTTGATTCCGAGCTGGTTGCGAGGAGTTGCGGAAACAGTGGCCAAAAGCTAATTTTTAAAAGTTAAAACCAAGACTCGGGTTTCAACGCTCTTTATTAGAAAAAGAGTGACCATCAAAGTTGCTTACCAGACATTTTCATAGATGGCGCCACTTTCGAAAAATCTACTGTGAAACCTAGCGGTCATTATTGCACAGAATTTGCAGGGAAAAAGTACAAATTTTATTGCTGTTTTAAATATCTCATAAATTGGAAAATACGATTAACTGATCCAATTTTTTTGATGAATTTTATTTAGTAGTCTTTTTACTACGTGTTCTGTAATGTAAACGATACCTAGTGGTTGGCGATGTCTTCTACATCTAGATGTAGTCCTGAGTGCCGGGTATAAAAGTTGTGACGCGTAAGAAGCGTCTCACACGTTTCTTCTCGTTAATGATGCGTTTTTCGGAATTTCCTATCACCATTAAGTCATCCATATAAAGGAATGCCTGAGAAGGTTCTAACCCCGAGAATCCTATTGTCATCATTCTCTGAAATGAATTTGTTGCTATTTTAAGACCAAATATTAATCGCATGAAGCGATATGAGCCATTGCTCGTTGAAAAATATGTATTATTTCTTGAATTTTCTTCATGTTCAATTTGGTGGAAACCAGACATTAAGTCAAGGCATGAAAAGTATTTAGCTCTGCCCAGTTGGTCTAGAATATCATCAATTCTGCGGAGCGGGTATTTATCAGAAAGTAGTTTTTTGTTGATTTGGTGATAGTTAATTACTAATCGCCATTTCTGATCTTCCGAATTTGGTAATGATTTTTTTGGAACTAACAGGAGTGGGCTGTTATAACCGGATACAGACGGTGTTACGATTTTTTCATTTATTAATTTCCTTACGTGTTTTTGAATTTCTTCAATTTGGTTACGCGGGCTTCTGTAGTTTTTAATATAAATTGGTTCATCATCTTTAAGTTTTAATGTTTGCTTATACAAATTATTTGTCGCTATTGGTTCGGTTTCCAGTCCGAACACATCACTATACTTGGTGCATAATTCTGTTAGTTGACTTTTTAATTGTTCTGAACAATTTTTCTTTAATTTTTAAAGTACTTGTTCGTTTCAATTTTCCGCATAAGTATTATGACCAATTGGTCGAAATTAGTTGTGTTTAGAAGGCGTATGCATTTTTGGATGCTGCTATTGTATTTGCAACATAAATTCCATTATGTATTTCTTGATTAGGAACGAATATATAATCATTTAATGTACTAATGTCTATTTTTCGAATTACTTGGGATCTGGCTGGCAGAAGAACTGTATTGTTGCCAGCACTATATGTTATCGGAACATAAATTTGATAATTTAAAGTTTGAGGTCAAATTATAAACCAGTCTTTACTTGGTTTGAAATCGAATTGACAATGGAATTTTTTAATAAAATCAATGCCTATTATTACATCACACGGTATTCAAAATTCTGAATCTACTAAATTAAATTCGTGTGGAATAATATATTTTGTTGATTGAAGTTCTATTGAAGTTCTTCTCTGAGATTTTATTG